CACAAAGCTGAGTTCAATCCCCAGCACTGCATGGACACTTGGGAAGTGGAGGTAGGCAAAGATTAAGGTTACCCTCAGTTACACAGTGAGTTTGAGGTCAGCCTGAGCTATATGACAAACACATAGGAAACATACCTGCAGTCTGCCTGGAGGCTTCTGAAATACTGAGCGTAAAATGCCAGCCATGAGTGTAGTAATTCTTCTCTTTAGAGGCTAAGAAATAGGAAACAGTGGTCAAAAACATTACAAATGGACAGATTTCCCCCTTCTATAGAGGTGAAACCACAGGCAGTCATTATACACTACACAATCCTATTTCCATCAAGTGAGTTTAGAGTCTAAGTCCATTTCATAAAACTGGGAAATGGAGTTTCTATCATCTGAAACTCTTCACAGTGAGTATAAAGAATATTGTTCATTTTTCTTTGTCAGGGAATCCACAGAAAATATGAAACTAGACAAGACTGAAGAAATTCCACCTCTTAAAATCAGAACCACGTACCCTGTTATTTTATATATGAAGAGAATTATTTCCAGAAAGTTATCATGTAGCCAAGGGTATCTAGCCATTAAGAGAGAATGTACAGATGGGCACTGGTGACATATGCCTATAACCCTACACTTGGGCAGCCTGGGGGCAGGAAGACTCTGAGTTCCAGGCCATCCTGAATTACACAGCAAGATCTAGTGTCAAACAAGCAAAACAGATAAAAAAACAAAACAAAACAAAACACAACACATAAGCCCCATCTCAGTTCTCCTAGCTGGATGTCCAGTATATTTTCACTAGATCGTTAACACTTTTCTGTTACCAAAACAAACAAACAAACAACAATTTAAAAAAAATAATGAGAGTTGCTGAAAAGATGGCTCAGTTGCTAAGGTACTTTTTGTGCAAGCTTGAAGACTTGAGTTCAAATAACCAGTACCTATGGAAAAGCTAGGTATGGTGGCCTGGGTCTACAGCCCTAGAGCTGGAGTAGAGACATTCCTGGAGCATGCTGGCCAGCCAGCTTACCCAAATTGGAAAGCTCTAGGTTGTGAGAGAGACCCTGTCTCAAAAATAAGATGGAGCATGTCTAAGAAATAAATCTCTGGCCTCCACTCACAAGTGCACCACTATACATTATGTATATACAAAATAGGTACTTTTTTTTTTTTTGCCTATTTATGTTTTTAAAAATGATTCTTCTGTATTGCTTCTGTAACCTCAAAAAGTATGTATTCAGATAGGTATGAAACAGGTATAGCCTAATGCACTCCAGGGGTAGACAGATGAGATTCATGAACTGAATGTATGCCTTGGGCAGATACTTGTGTGTAACGTCTTTTCCTTCTAAAGAAAACAGTACCGAGCTTACAAATTATCTATTTTATATAACATCAGAAATATTAGCTCTGTACCCCTAGTAGGGTAAGTGTGTACTATATCCTGACCAGATTCTGGCTCACAAGGTCTATAACCTTCTGTGATGTGAATGAAGAAACAGGTAAAGCCCAAGATGTCACCAGAGAAGAGCTGGACCTCAGAAAAACTGCTCAGCAGCTAAATTAATCAAATGCCAAACTAGTTTCTCACATTTCTTCCAAGTTAAGTATCATCTGAAAATCCAACTCATTTAGTGCTGCTTAACTTTTCAATTAGGTTTCAAGAAACAACTGATAGTCTACTGCACCCCGTACATCAGAAAGGAGCTACTCAGAAATGCAAACCTATGGGAATGTATTAAAGGGACAGATACAACTGAAAGAACTCCCAATGGCCCAACTGGATTGATTTAAACAACACTTGACAAAGTATCAGCTTATAACTGGAACAAAAAAACCAATGTGGGGAAAGTCCACACTTACATACATAGATAGGTAAATTAACTGGAAAAGAGAAACAGAGCTCCTTGTAGAAGAATTCTGTTTTTTTTATGGGGCTACTTCTCCTCAGGGAGACAGAGAAAACTATTCATCACTTCAGTGTATGCTTTGATGAAGAACTTGCTCCTAAGGAGTGCAGTATAGAAAAGGAGAAAATCACCTTTATAGAAACCGGACAAACACTACCTCCACCAGGTGATCAGGGATACGTAACACCAACGGTGATAGAAGCTGACAGCATTCCAGTCAGAGCTACATAGTGGGAACCTATCACAAAACAAAACAAAAAGTTGATACACTTGACAGACACAAAGATATGCGCCTACCTCAAAGTCCATTCATAACCCCACTTAAGAGAAAAGACCACCTCTAATTGAGGGTCACTGCCACTGTTCTAGCTAGTTTTATGCCAAACTCAAATAAACCCTGCTTATTTCTGTTCCTGTCCTGACTTCCTTCAATGGTGGACTATGAAAGTGTAAGCCAAATAAACTCTTTCTCCCCCAACTTGGCATCTTTTTGGTCATGGTGTTTCACCATAGCAATAGTAACCCTAACTTTCCACACTGTGGAAAACACTTCACTAGTACATTTTCAAATACCTCACTTCTCAAAACTGTCAAGGTCTTCAAAAACTAGAGACCTGAGAACTGGTCAAGAGGAACCCAAGAGCTACAATCTTTATGCATACTGTGTGCCATATTGATACATGGGTGGGATCCTGGAAGATAAAAGGACACTGAGAAAACTAAAAACTAAAAAAAATCTGTCTGAATAGAGCAAATAATGTTAACAATGTATCAATTTGGTTCAGCAGTTGTAATGACCACCCTACACTAATATTTGATGTTAAAAGGAGAAACTGAGCACGAAAGGTATAGGAACCCTGTATTAGCATCACCACTTCTCTGAAAACCTAATATTGGCTAAAAGTAAAGTTCATTCATTAAAAAAACAAACAAACAAAAAAACTGGGACTAGAATATGTTTCAGGGGTAGAATGTCAGGTATGCATCAGTTCCTGGGCACAAGAGTTAGTACTGTCTCCAGTGCCTCTCTGCTTTACCAAGATGAAAATCCAAGTCCTTAACCCTCACAGGGCAAGCCACTGCATATCACCATCAACCTCCACCCGTCTTCCCCCATATTCTCCTATTACTTTCTTGCTTCAGCAGAGTATCAGGCTTTCTGCATGACCCAGAACCAGCCAAGCTAAACTGCTTCTTCCCTTTGACTGTCTGGCATACCTTTCTTTTTCAGTTTTTGGCTCAACCCTTATCTTAGCAATGAGGTCTACCTGGATCAGGTTGTTTCAGTTTCACCATTACTTTCTGTTGAATGAGGTCTCCCTCCATCAAACTGTCTAACATTTTCAGCCACACTGCTGCCAGCACTCTCTGTCCCTTAGATACTTGTGTTCTATTGTAATTTACTAATTTACCATTAGCAGCTGTCTCCATTCAAAACACAGGACCGTGCCAGAAGACAAGGACTTTAGAGTTTGTTTTAGATCTATTTGAGTCATAGGTGTCTCTCAGAGCAGCGTCTGCATTCAAGATTTTCTGCTGAAGTTTAATTTACAGATATAAGCAGGTGTCACCATCAAAACTAACTGATTTTGTTGTTGGTGTTGGTTGTGTCCCATGTCTTCCCTGCCCCACTGTTGTATGTGGGGGTGGGTACTGGGGACCAAACCAAGAGCCCTGCACATAGAAAACAAGTGCTCTCCAGCTTCAAAATTCTATGTCTCATTAAAGTAGAGGTTATTCTTATTACATTTATAACTTTTGGACTTAGAAAAAATTACACTGCCATCAACTGTACAGCAGCTTTCCTGTGTACTTCTTCAAAAACCAGAAAACCTGGGCTGGGGAGATGATGGCCCAGCAGTTAAGAGCACTGGTTGCTCTTCCAGAGGACCCAAGTTTGATTCCTAGTGACCAAATGGCAGCTCACAAAAGTTTGCAACTCTGGTTCCAGGGTCTCTGACAATCTTCTGGTCTCCTTGGACACTGTCACAGATATTACAGGCCAAACGCCCATACACATAGAAAGAAACAAACTATAAAATACCATTCATCACATGAGATCTACAACCTATTTCTATTTTTTAACATACGAATGTATGTATAAATACAGAAAAATCTGAAGGTTGTCAAAACCATTTTTTCTTCTCCCTCACCTCCAATATCTCTTAGTTTTGTTCTTAGTTTTTGTTTTGTTGGGTATTTTTGTTTTGATTTTTGCAATGGCTTTGAATATAAACGGTTCTTTACCTCCAAACTACAGCACCAGCTCTTAAGTTGTTATGTTTGCTTTTTTTCTTTCTAAAGAGATTACACGCACACATATTCCTGAAATGTAGAATACAGAACTCCCCATGGAATCAACTGAGATCTCTGAAGTCAACAATTGCTTCTCTTCCCAGAATTTCCTGGGCCTAAAAGTATTAAACAGCAGTCATAACCGCTTCTTAGCCAAAAAAGAAGGAGCTAGATAGGTGACGATTAAAGCAGTTTGCAAAAATCATTGTCTTTCGTAAACAGCAGCTCTAAAAACTCTGCATTCTAAGTCGAAATAACTTAAAATTAAGTAAGTTTTGCCTTTTAAAAAATTTTCCACTGTTGCTCAATGTGAAGAGTCCTAGAGTTATAAACAGAAGCACTGAAAGAGCTACAGACATTCCCAAGCAGACAGGCTCGGACGGCTCGGACCTAGGGCTACAAGAGTGAGGCTCTCAAGAGAGACGTCGACGCAGCAACCCGCGAATAAAGTGACAACTCGGCCGCTTTCAGAGGCCCAAGAAACAGGTCCTGGGCACAGACCTATTTGTCGCCTGGACCTCCAACCCAGAACGGAAAAAGGAAGTCAGTCAGCATCTGCAGCGAGCACACACAATATGCAATGCCTCTAGCTCCCGCAGCCACACTCACCAGGGACCACCCTGTCCAGTCTGAACGTCCCTGCAACCCGAAGGAGCGGAAGCGAGGCAAGCGGACTCAGTGCGACACTCACACCACGCCGGTGCCACCACAATGCGCACATTTCTTTGGTTCCGCGAATGGTAGTTTTGTTCCGGCCCAGGGACTCCCATTCACCAAGCTGCATAGAAGACTGCGCAGGCGCTGCAGTGTCACGTGTGCGCTTCCTGGGGTTGGGTGCTAGCGGTGGGAGGATCTGGCGGAGCCCGGGAGTTCTCGCTGTGATGGCTAAGTCCAGCCTGGGCCAGGATTCCGACAGCACCGCTGCAGTGGCGGTGCTAAAGCGGGCAGTGGAGCTGGATGCAGAGTCCCGGTACCAGCAGGCTCTGGTGTGTTACCAGGAGGGGATTGACATGCTCCTGCAGGTTCTCAAAGGTGAGCTAGTTTCGGTTTCCGCTCTATCTGGGACAGAGTGAAACTTAGGAAAACGAAACTTCCTAACTACCTAGAAGCATTCCAATTGAGGAGCTGTAGTCTGATATTCTGCGGGACAACAGAGGTGGTGGTGGCCTTTGTAGTAGACTGATGGTACCACAAATGAGCATAGGTCACTGTCCTGAAACGCAAGAGACATAACCAAATATAAGACATAAGCTTTGCTAGGTCTTGCGTCTGAATGAAATTTATTTTTTGTTGTTACTTTGCGACAGGATTTTTCTCCTCTCTGTTACTCTGTCTCTCCTTCCCGCCCCCACGATGACCCAATGAGCTTCATTAGGGTGGAAGTTTGTTTACAGGCATATGTGCACCTTGCCGGTGACTGCACCACTGAATAAACTGTCTGTCTTCCCCAACATTTTATAAACACACTCACACAAAGATGGGGGCGGGCTTGAACCTTTCCCTCTTTCATGACAGTGTTAAAAGCCGAAGTTTGTGGTTATCCTGTACAAGTAATCACGGCTACTGTGAGTTAGAGTGCAACAGACATGTCATGCTGGAAAGTCTTGAGTACACACCACCCCTTCCCTTCCTCTGGCTCTTCTCCCTTCTGCGCTTTCTTCTGGGGTGTTCCCCCAAGGCTGGAGGTGGGGGTAATAGATGCCTCACTTATGACTGGGCATTCAACAGTCATTAATTTTGTGTGCTTCAACCAGTTATCAGTCTCTGCAGTTGCTACTCAGTTCTGGCTTCTAATGTTGACAACAGCACTATTCTGTGGCTGCAAACATAATTATGTAGAAGACGATTTGACAGACACATCATGTCGTTTTAATAAAACAACAGCAGTGGCCAACCCCCATGATCTATGACCTCCACAGTCTTGTACTTTTCATCAGATGTGAATTCTCTCCTGTCATGCAGGCATCAGATCCGATCAGAAAGCAGTTTGGTACCCCATACCATGTGCCATATATGCCAGGACATATAGCCCCATGCCACTATTGCATCAACGGGCTCATCTAGTCCAGCTGGTTGGTTTTAACACAGTGTATGACTGGGTAAGACAATTCTCCCCCAGCAGCCTGTGTAGCATCTCCCACCAGTATGAGAACTATCCAACAAGGAGGAAGCTTCAAACCCAGTTCCAGCTTGATATCTCATTGTCCCGAGACCAAGGCATGTGGTGTGTTCAGCAATAGAGTCCTACCAACTACTTTTGGTGGGCATCCAAAAGCAGTGGCAATTCCTATATTGTTTTGGGGATCTCGTAGGTCCACTCCCAGCCCCGGGATTTACCTTTAGTAACTCATGTTTTTTTGTAGCAGCTTTATCTATCCACAGAGAATACCTCTACTTAAAACTTTTAAACATTATTTATTTATTTATTTTTGGTTAATTTGCTGTCCTGGTTAAGGTTACTATTGCTATGATGAAACAGCATGGCCAAAAATAAGTTGGCGAGGAAAAAATTTTTTCAGCTTACCCTTCATGTTATTGTAGTCCGTTACTGAGGGAAGTCAGGGTAGAACTCAAGCAAGGCAGGAACCTGAAGGCAGAAGCTAATTTAGAGGCATTGAGAGGTGCTGCTTCCTGACTTGCTCTTCGAGGCTTGTTCAGCCTGCTTTCTTATAAAACCTAGGACCACCAGCTCAGGCATGGCACCACCAACAATGGGCTGGGCCCTTCCTCACCAATCACTAATTAAAAAATATGCCCTACAGGCTTGCTTACAGCCCTAATTTATGGAGGCATATTTATTCCTAACCCCAACTCCCCAGACAAGGTTTCCCTGTGTGTAGCCCTGGCTGTCCTGGAACTCTCTATGTACACCAGGGAGGCCTCAGATTTGTCTGCCTCTGCCTCCCAAGTGCTGGGATTAAAGGCATGTGCCATTGAGCCTAGAGAGGCATTTTCTTAATTGAGGTTCCCTCCTCTAAGATGACTTTTTTTTAGCTTGTGTCAAGTTATATAAACCTATACAACACACTTCCCAAATATCAGCATTGTTAGTGTTGGCTAACCCTCTTCCCCAAGCCTTCTCTCCAGGTATGGTGGCTAGTTTTATGTCAGCTTGACACAAGCTAGATTTATCTGAAAGAAGGGAATATCAATTGAGAAAGTGCTCCCATAAGATTTGTCTGTAGAGCATTTTCTTAATTAGTGATGATGGGGGAGGGTCCAGCCCATTGTGGGTTATCATATCCCTAGGCTGGTGGTCTTGAGTTCTATAAGAAGGCCAGCTGGACAAGCCACTAAGCAGTACTTCTCCATGGTCTCTGCATCAGCTCTTCCTCAGGGTTCTTGTCCTGTTTAAGTTCCTGCCCTGATTTCCTTTGATGATGAACAGTGCCATAGAAGAATAAGCCAAACCTGACAGTGGTTTTACATACCCTTAATTCCAGCACTTGGGAGGCAGAGGCAGGTGGATCACTATGAGTTTGAGGCCAGAGGCCAGCCTGGTCTACTAAGTGAACTCTGGGACAGCCAAGGCTACAAAGAGAAACCCTGTCTTTGAAACACACACACACACACACACACACACACACACACACACACACACACACACACACACACACACTGAGAGAGAGACAGACAGACAGACAGAGACAGAGAGACAGAGAGAGAGCCCAAAACTCTACAAAGTACATTTGGAGGTGAGAGAACTTTCTCACCACCATTTGGGTCATAGGGATGGAATTCAGAATTTCAGACTTAGTGGCAAGTAGCTTTTCCTGCTGAAACATCTTACTGGTCCCTGTCTTGCTCTTCTATAACAACTGTTTGTGTGTAATAACAGACATGTAGGGGAACTGCATTAATCCCTTGCAAGGGCAGCAACTCGGTGACCTCCCACTGGGCTCTGCTACTTGGAGGTTCCACTGATTTGTAACTTTGTTACACAGGACAAAGCTTCCCATTCACGAACCTTTGAGGGAGGAGGTACACTTAAATCATATCCAAGGGAAGAGATAGAAGATGTTTATTTGTTCAGAAGAACCACAGAAGGACACTCCAGCACACTGAATTTGAGCACATTGTAAAAGGGAAGGGAACTTGTGGGAAACTTGACAAAAATCCTGTTCTTTTTTTTTTTTTCAATTTGCAGGTACCAGAGACTCTAGTAAGAGATGTGTTCTCAGAACGAAAATCTCTGACTACATGGATAGAGCAGAAAACATAAAGAAATACTTAGACCAAGAAAAAGAAGGTAAAGGCTGTTTTTTAAGAACATGTCTGGGTTTGGGGTTCAGGGGCAGGATGCAGCATGAGGCTCTGGGTTCAAAGCTACTGCTTGTTGGAGCATGGTGTGGTCTGGGCCACTTGTGCCTAGGAGCTTAACAAATTGCTCTGTGTTTCCTTCTTCCTCATACAGAAGTTATTCTTAACAGTGTCTGGTTTTCAGTTTGGGACCTGGGGATTCAGACATCCTTTAAATACCTGATAAAAGCTTGGCCATTTTTAAGGCATTTGCAGATCGCTCTGAAGCGTATGGGTGAACCTCAATTTAAGAATATTGTAGAAGAATACCGAATGTGGATCCTGTGTTTATTTTCTCTTTTATGAAAAGATGAAAATCACTAGAATAGCTAAAGACACTCCAGAGGCTTCGCAAAGGTTTCGGTGACTCAGCATTTCACCAGTTATGTATTCCTGATGATTGAGAGGTGAGGTAGGTATTCCTCTGGATCTGTCATGAGTTCCCAGCTCATGAGCATCTGTGTGAGTGGGTGTGGCCACCCCACCTGAAGCACACTGGTGTTTTTACTGCCAGAGGTGCTGCTACCCTCCAAAGCTTAGGCCTCCAGGCCTCAGCTCTTCTCCCTATTTGTCCTTACCACCACCCTCTCCCCACCTCTTCCTAGGGTTCTGTACTAATTATACCCAGGTTATGGTGGTTGAGCAAACAGTTAAATTAGCCTATGTGACTGGTTTGGCTTAAAAACAGATGCATGGTTAGTAGTGTTATCTCTATGGAAAGGCTGTTTTGTTTTTGTTTTGTTGTTTTTAGTGGTGCTGGGGATTGAACCCAGTGTCTTATGTTTACTAGGGGAGTACTCTACTGCTAAACTATAACCACAATCCAGATTTTTAAAATTTCTTTTGGGGAGGGTTGGGTTTTTGTTGATTTTTTTTTCCTTTTCCAAATGGGGGTTTTACTATGTAGTCCTGGCTAGCCTGGAATTCTCTTTGTAGACCAGGCTGGCCTTGAACTCATAGAGCTCCACCTTTATCTATAGAATGAAGAAAAGGCTTCCCTTTTTGAATTTACCTTTCTGACTTTGACTTTGCACTTACACTTTTGCTCATTCAGCAGTTCTGGAAGACACACTGAGCACATCCAGCTTACCTGTTGTTTGTTTATTCCTTTTTCATTTTACACAGTCTCATAAGAACTTTAGTCCTCATAGCATGAACTGCTAAAAGTCTGATTAAAACATACCAGGGCATGCTTAGCGTGTGCAAAGCCCTAGATCTGAAGCACCAAAAGCAAGCAGACAAACAAGCAAACCAACAAGAAGCCTTAAAACCAGGAAAAAAAGCCGGGCATTGGTGGCGCATGCCCTTAATCCCAGCACTCGGGAGGCAGAGGCAGGCAGATCTCTGTGAGTTAGAGGCCAGCCTGGTCTCCAGAGCGAGTGCCAGGATAGGTTCCAAAGCTACACAGAGAAACCCTGTCTCAAAAAAACAAAACAAAACAAAACAAAACAAAAAAACAGGAAAAAAATACAGCCAGGCTATGGTGGTGCATACCTGTAGTCCAAGCACTTGGGAGGTAAAGGCAAAAGGATAAGGAATTCAGGGTCACCCTCAGCAATGTAAGGAGTTTGTGGCCAGCCCTACATTTGACCCTGTCCCAAAACAAAGCCTTAAAGAAACACTCTTAAAGTGCTAAGAATGGCTTCTAAACTCCATTGTACTGGTACATGTTTAAAACTCACTTTAGCCATGAGATTGCAAGATATGAAATGGCAAGTCTGAAAAGAAAGCTAAGTACATCCTGTGTTCTGCCCACTGTGACAGGGTCTTAGCGACAGCTGTGTGCAGTCAGTCCTCCCTTGTATAAATTTGTCTGTCAGAGACAGAGAAGCAACCTTTTTCAAGAAACCTCTTGTGCTCTTGTGGTCTGGAGAGGTGTTACAGCAGAGCACTAGCTGCTCTTGCAGAGGACAACCCCCCGCCCCCAACCTTTCAGTTCCCAGAACCCACATGGCAGCTCACAACCATTTTTAACTCAACTTCTGGGGAATCGAAGGCCCTGTTCTGACCTCTGAGAACACTGCATGTGTGTGGTACAAATTCATACAAATGCCTATTCATACACATAACATAAAACAATTTTTTTTTTTTAAATTTTAAAATGGGAACATCTGGATGGCCTCCTTTGCCTAGCCTCTGTGAAGGCAGGAAATCTCCTTTGGAATAGTATTTTTCTTCTTTCCCTATGTGTAAGAAACATTTTGCAGTTGCATAATGTAGAGCAGGCATGTGATAGCTACTGAGTAAATGAGTTTAAAAGATTGTAACTTGGCTGGAGAGATGGTTCAGAGGTTAAGAGCACTGACTGCTCTTCCAGACGTCCTGAGTTCAATTCCCAGCAACCACATGGTGGCTCACAACCATCCGTTATGAGATCTGATGCCCTCTTCTGGTGTGCAGACATACATGGAAGCAGAATGTTGTATACATAGTAAATAAATAAAATCTTTAAAAAAAAAGATTGTAACTTATTCTGATTAATCGCTATGTGCAACGTATTAGTTGTGTAAAAAGGAAGTCTTCACGGTGGGGTGGTTCAATGGGTAAAACCACCTGCCAACAAACCTGTGGACCCGAGTTCAATCCCTGGGGACAGACCCACATAGTAGAAGGAAAAAAAACTAACTCTCACAAGTTGTGCTCTGACCTCTACAAAAGATGCTTCGTGGCATGGTCACACCCACTTGCATGCCCACACACAAAAGAATAAAGGTGTAATTTTAAAAAAAGTGATCACTGGTCACATTACTGTAGCTTGTGTTTCGTAGATGGAAAATATCACAAGCAAATTAAAATAGAAGAGAATGCAACTGGGTTCAGTTACGAGACACTTTTTAAAGAATACCTTCATGAGACAGTTACGGAAGTTTGGATAGAAGACCCTTATATTAGACAAACTCATCAGGTAAGTGGAATGTGCTAAACTGTAGTGAAACGTGACTGTACAGTCAGCTGTCTGTTTTTATGGGTTTCCTATCCATGCATTTGATGGAGGATGAAAAATACTGTTAGAAATCCTATCTGCACTAACATACAAACATGTCAGTATAACAATAATGCGAAGTGTTTACATTGTATTGGGTAGCATAAGTAGTTGAGAGATGATGTAAAGTTCTCAGGAGGGTGTGTGTAGGTTCTGGGATGATAGAACATCATTTAAAACAACAGATAGGGGTGGGGATGGAGAGAGGGCTCAGAGGTTAAGAGCATTGTCTGCTCTTCCAGAGGTCCTGGGTTCAATTCCCAGCAATCACATGGTGGCTCACAACCATCTGTAATGAGATCTGGTGCCCTCTTCTACCCTGCAGGCATACATGCAGGCAGAACACTGTATATATAATAAATCTTTAAAAATAAATAAAATAAGCTGGGTGGTGGTGATGCATGCTTTTAATCCCAGCACTTGGGAGGCAGCAGATCTCAGTGAGTTCGAGGCCAGTGTGGTCTGCAAAGAGAGTTCCAGGACAGCCAGACTGTTACATAGAGAAAACCTGTCTCAGAAAACAAAGCAAACAAACTTAAAAATAAGTAAATAAGGTAATGGATGGAAGCATCTGGACAGGACCTTGCTGGACTCTGAGGGAAAACTATACGAGGAGTTAGTGCTAATCCATCCTAATACCTTTCAGCTGTATAACTTCCTTCGGTTTTGTGAGATGCTGATTAAGAAGCCATGTAAAATAAGAACTATTCACCTTCTCACCTCTGTGGATGAAGTAGGTATCTGAAAAACCTCAATCTTTCTTGACTTACTGCGTTCAGTTACAAGTTACCTGGTCCAGTACTTCAGCTAGATGTATTTCCTTGGGAACAACTCACCATGTAGAATCAAGCATAGCATATCTTAAGGAAAAGGCTATTGATTTGAGAGTGTTGACCTTCTCTTCAGCCGTTTTGTTGAGTTTGAGTAGTTTGTCATTTTTAGTCTTGGGTGTCAGAGATCATGCAGTCTCACTAGTGACAGTTCTGTCCCTTACTGCGTGTATCTGACATTATGTTGTTGCTGTGTCTCTTTTGATTTTGTCTTAAGTAGGAGTGCATCCAAATAATTGTAATTTCCTGGATTAGTCTAAGAAGCAGGCAGTCTCATGTGGATGACTGAATATCATTACTAAAATACATTTAAGGATGCTGGACATGGTGCCACATGTCTGCGCGCCTAGCAACAGGGAGGCTGAGGCAGGAGGGAGTTGTGTGGTATTCACATGAGGAAAACAATAATCTGTCTAAAAACAATATATAAGAAAGAAAAGAATTACCCATTCTTCGGTTGCTTCTTTGAGACAGAAATATTGAAATTAATATAGAATCTTTTCAGTTTAATCTCTCCATGGTATTCATTGTATAGCTCATGGATAATTTAAGTTATTAATAACTGAGGAAGTAAATTATGTTTTATGCCACCAATAGGGCTTTGGGAATGCACAGCAAAGTAGTGGCCTGGAAGAAATAAAACAATCCCTCAGGAGTCATGGAGTGCTGTTGGAAATAAATTATTCTTCATCTATACATGACCGAGAAATTAGGTTAGTATATAATATTTTATTTTTTTCATAGCTGAGGCACACCTTAAAAATTCCAGTGTAATATAATTATATACACATATTTAAATATTAAAACTTCAAATCAAGCTGAAACTTAGTAACTTTGCCTTTTGGAGAAGAAACCTTGGCTTGCCTCTGTAGAGTGAATTTAGTTAATTCCTAATCAAATAATGAGTTCTGTGTCATGTGGGAAGTTCTTTTGTGCAGACCATAGCCAGTGTTATGGTAGGAGATAATTCCTTTCCTACTGAAATTACTATTTACCTGGTGTGGCTTCCTTCGTGGTATGTTGTGGTAGTGTGCTATTAATCAGGAAGCATACATACATACAGCTTCTTAGGGATCATACTAAGATCCCTTCCTTCCCTTTAGCATAGTGGTTTTCATATGATACAGCGGAAGAGACCCTTGTTTTTAATTCAAAGTCAATCAGAAGCTAAATATGAAAAATGGATGGCACTGCTGCCATGTTGAAGGGGAGGTCAGGGGCTGGGCTGCCCTTGGGATTCCAATCCCTATCTCTGCATAGTGGCACTGTGTTAGTCAGGGTTCTTTAGAGGAACAGAACTTAAAGAAGGTCTATCAAAATGGAACGTCTGAGAACCCAGTAGTTGTTGAGTCCATGAGGCTGGAAGTCTCAGCTGGTCTTCAGTATATGATGGAATCCTGAAGAAGTAGACTCTAATGCCAGTGAAGGAATGGGAGAGCAAGCAGGCAATGAGAGCAAGCTTCCTTCTTCCGTGACCTTTATATAGGCTGCCACCAGAAGGTGTGGCTCAGATTAAAGGTGGATCGTCCCATTTCAAAGATATGAATTAGAAGTGGGTCTTCCCACTTCAAGTAGTTTTGATATTGTTGTTGTTTCATTGTTTGTTTGTTTATTTTCAAGACAGGGCTTCTGTGTGTAATAGCCCTGAATGTTATATCCATTTGCTTCTGTCTCCTGAGTGCTGGTATTAAAGATACGTGCCACCATGCCTGGCTCCCACTTCAAATAGTTTAATTAAAGAAATAAAATCCTCCAGAGGTGTGTACAACCATTTGGGTTTTAGTTAATTCCAGATGTAGTCAAGTTGAAAACTGTCATCCCACACACCTTTGAAATGTCAACACACTCTTCCTAAATGTCCTTTGCAAACCACTTGTTTGCAGAGAAGAGCTTGAGCAAGCTGAATTCAAAACTAGCTTTCCATTTAATGGTTAAGTTCTTTCTCCACCAATCAGATTAGCTGATGATGTTTAGTGCTCCTTTTGTTTTCTTTATAGACTGAGCTTGGGACTAACCCCAGGTTTGATTCAGCTCATGCTTTTCTTTGTTAGGGGGAAAGCTTGATGATGCTTAACCAACTCTGGCTTTAAAAACTAACTCAAATGTCTTGGATATAATACTATACACTAATTTTAATAGGTTCAACACTGGATGGATGTTTAAAATTGGAAGGGGACTCGATTATTTTAAGAGACCACAGGTAGGATATGATTTATTTATTTATATTACATCTTGACTGAAGTTTCCCCTCTCACTTCTTCTTCCAGCCCCTCCTCCCACATCCCCTCTCCCCCAGATCCACTCTTCCTCCTTTCTCTTCAAGGATATGATTTTATGATTAACTGTGAGCACTGCTTTCTTGTTTGTTTGGATGAACTCCTGGGCTCTTAGCCTCCAGAGTGGCTGGCACTGTAGTTGGAGCATCATGCTTGGCTTTTTGTATGTGTCATTTATAACAGTACTCTCTTTTCTTCATAGGGTCGTTTTTCCCTTGGATATTGTGATTTAGATCTGAGACCATGCCATGAAACAACAGTGGACATTTTCCATAACAAGCACACAAAAAAGATATGACGTGTAATAACCTAACTATACATTTCTGCTTTGGATGGTTTCAGCCCATTTTCTGTTGCTAAAACTGAATACCATACACTGGATAATATATAAAGAGTAGAGGTTTAGGCTTTGGCATCTGGGGAGGATCATTTTTCTGCATCCCAATGGTAAAATGCAACAAGATGGAGCAGGCTTTGTAACAAAGCTTGTGAAGCAAAGCCGCCACCTCAGAGGTCTCCCCTCTCTCAACATTGCTGTACTAGGGACCAAGATCCAACACACAAACCTTTGGGGACATGTTCAAACCATAGCAAGCAAATACTGAACTTGTTCCCCCCCCCCCTTTTTTTTAAAACATTGGATGTATTTTTATAATGTATGAGTTTAACAATAAATGTTTACATTTCTACAAATTTCTGGATCTGCAAATATGCTGTTCAGTAGATTTGCATGTTTCTTTTTTAAGATGGAGTTAACTGAAAGATTTTACTAGCTTCTGGTTGGTGGAGAGTAGGTCAGCAAGTATTGCACAGCTGTTATGAGGACAACTGGATGTTAATCTTGCTCCTGGGAGTTTAGAGTTCCAAAATGAAAATCACAGATTACAGTGCTTGTAAGAGACAGATGGGCTGAGGGCCTCGTAATGAGAAGAAAAGTCCATGTGGCTGAAGATGAAGCCCAAGGTGTATCACATCCTAGTGTGTGCCATTCCTGGCTTCCGTCCCTGGCACCACAAACAAGAACAGTGGTTACAGTTAAGATAGTTGTCAGCTAGGCTTGATGGGGCATTGTTGTAATCCATTCCTGGGAAGCAGAGGCTGGTGGATCCAGAATTCAGGGTCATTCTAGTCTCTATAGAGAGCTTGAGGCCAACCTGGACTATGTGATACCTTGCCTCCAAAAACAAAAATAAATGATAGCCTTTGGGAGATGTTCTCTGGCTCTCGGATGTCCAACATTACAGAGCTCCATAAAGTCAACTCACCCAGTTGAGTTATCTTCACGTAACTGTCCTGGCAGGGCCCAGATGCATCTACCCATCCCTGTGGCTATCGGGCTGATGAAATAATGGTCCTCAATAAGTTGACATTTCCCCAGGAATCTCATGCAGGGAGAAGGTAAGACTGTAGCTGTGGTACCAGCCAGAGGAGGATCTTGTCACCCAGGAAAAAAATCTATTTCACACAGTCTGACAACTCAGTCAGACTGGAGTGTAGACAATGAGGAGCCAGTGACACCCACATCCACAGGAAGCTGTTGCCCTATTTTTTATTTGTTTGTTTATTTGTTTTCCATGAACAAAACTTCTTGGAGGAGTTGTTTTTGCATTTCCTCACCAGCTCTTCCACTCCTTTCACTGTTGGCTGCTGTCCAGAGCACTGCAGTGAGGCCATTAAGGTTGGGAGTAACCTTTATACCACCTTACTCCATGAGCACTTTCCTTCTTTTTTTTTAACTTAATTAATTAATTAATTAATTAATTAATTAATTATGTGTACAGTGTTCTGCCTACATGTATGCCTGCATGCCAGAAGAGGGCACCAGATCTCATTACAGATGGTTGTGAGCCACCATATGGTTTCTGGGAATTGAACTCAGGACCTCTGGAAGAGCAGCCAGTCCTCTTAACCTCTGAGCCAACTCTCCAGCCCGGGCACTTTTCCTTCTTAGGACTGGGTGTTCACTCTGTAGCAAAAGGTTGGTCTCAGCATGGTGGTTTTCCTGCCTCCGTACCTGCATGCTGACACTTGGGTGTGTGCTATAATGTCCAACTCTGAATGTGCACTTTTAAAAGTTATGTTTAAGTTATGAGCATGTATAGTTATACAATGGAATGGGTTTCACTGTGGCGTTTTCATATGTGTATATTACAGGCTCATACCCACTTATTCATTCTCTTCTCATCCTTAATCCCTGTCCTTTCCTAATGGACACTTTTGAAACTTTATAGTAGTTGGCGTTTCAGGAGCGTTGGACTCAGTTGGCCACTCTATAGTAGGAAATTACCAATACGGAGTCAGGTAGAAATATAAGGGTATTTAATAGGGAAAAGCCTTACTTACAGAGCGAACCAGCCAGCCGGTGGTAGTCTGTACAGCAAGAAACAAAGAGAAACCGAAAACGAAACGCAGTCCCCCTACTCACTCTGACCACACCCTCACAAGCCCTCAGGTACTCCTGTAGCCAGCCCCTAAGAAGGCGTGGCTACAGCTTCCCCTACACCACTCCTGTCTTGAAATTCCGTTTTCCTCAAGCACACATCTTTCCTTTTAAATATGAGAGTTAAGAGCATCTGGGGATGCAGGTGAGTAATGCATGTTCTTAGCATGCATGGAATCCGGGTCAGGCCTCAGAACAAAACCAAACTTAGCGCTTAGTATTCTCCTAAACTCCAGTCTGTGATCTGTTCCTAAATGATTACACCAGGGGGAATTCTCAGGGAAGAGTATCAAACACTGCTGTTATTGAGGTGAGCAAAAATGTAAGGAGTTTATTATAGGGAGGGAGCAGACCACCATGAGAGCTACAGATTGAGATGTGGACACTTGGGAGAAAATTGCAACTTAAAGCTAAATGTATGTGTGCTCCATGTAAAAAGCATTTTTTACTCCAATTTTAGTCTGATATGTGCAAATGCCTCTTTACTAAATTTGTCAGTTCCTGAGGTCAGAGGACATGTATGTGAACAGCAGCCAGCACAGCGCTTGGTATGCAGTGAACACTCAATAAATACACAGTACTGTGGGGGCAAAAGTGTGTGGATGGGTTAGTTGTAGAGTTAAGAAGAAGCCAACAGTGGTGTTACTCTCTGAAAAAGTTTGGAGTATGAAAAAGTTGGAAAAGTAAAAAATAAGGACAGGGATATTAGCAGGAATGTTAGGGGACAGGCTATGCTGATTCTCTCTGGTTAAAGACCCAATTGAAAGGTTGCTAGATGGTGGTGGCACATGGGTTTAATCTTAGAATTCAAGGCCAGCCTGGTCTGCAAAATGAGTTCCAGGACAGCCAGGGATACACAGAGAAACTCTGTCTCAAAAACAAAAACCAAACAACAACAACAAAAAGAAAGCTCAGAGACAAGATAACACATTTATGAATCCTTGGTCATGGGGGTACATATCTTTAATCCCAGAACTCAGGAGTAAGAAGCAGGCAGATCTCTGAGTTTGAGGCCAGCCTGGTCCAATATTATGTTCTAAATATCACTGAAACTGTCAGTATAAAGAAAGTCACTCAGGGTCACATTATTCCCCTGATTTTTTCACACAGAATATTCCATTTACTGTGTAAGTGCTGTTCATCTGGACATGTTCTCAGTAATATATTTGTTAGCAGGGTGGTTTCAATGGGACAGAATTTGCTGCCAATAAAACCTGAGTTTAATTTGTTAACTATTTCCAGTGGCAACCAATGATCAGGTGCTTTTATGTCACAGGTTTCAATGAGCCCATTCTTTACATCCATGAACACTTGAATTTCCAAATGTGCCTGCTCATATGGCACGCGAAATGTGGTGTTCACACTAAACTTAGGAGTCCGACCATATATCCACTGCCAGCTTTGCAGTTCTTTAGCTTTGCTGTTTATTCCAGGAAACTGTGTCTCATCTGCTGGGTTTATTAGTTTAATGTGATTATCAATTTGATGACAAGCAGCATACTCTGCAGCAATGGCACTCATCAGAACTTCACAGGACAGCAAGGGATCTTTTTCCAGAAGATTTTTGATGACGGAAGGGACGCTGGGAGTGGCATTGCTCTTTATCCCTTGGTATGGGCTCTTCAGCAAAGACGACAAAGCTGTCCTGTCGGCACTGCATAACAGGGTGCAGTGGTGGTAAGCGGCAATCCGGCCGATCTTTGACGCAGTTCCTGAGATTTTATACTGCCCATCGAGTAACAGGTCAAATTTTTTTGTAGGCTGCACGTCCAGGTAGGGTTGGACAGCGTTCAGAGCTCTCACAATTAATTTCAGGTTTTCCATTCTGTCATACTTGGTTTTGGTGGTAAAGAAGGTCAGGTTGATGTTACCCAGATCGTGGTACACTGTTCCTCCTCCACTCCTTCTCCGAGCCAGTTTTATACCTTCCTGTCTCATCAGATGGAGGTTACATTCCTGCCATGGATTCTGGTGCCTACCGATGACAACGCAGGGAGAATTTCTCCAAAGGAAAAGAATTGGCATGCCTTCTAGATGTATGTGGTCATGGATCCAGTCTTCTAAAGCCAGATTTTGATACACATCATTGGAGATCGACTGTAGAATGAGCCCATGTGTTGCTGGGTTTCTAAAGCTAGCTGTTGGGACCTTGTGGTGACAAAGTAACCGGAAGCAATTCTTCATTGAAAATGGGATTAGCATGCTTTTGGAAACAAGACAAGAGAAGAAAAATTAATTCAATGAGAAAAAAAATTAAGTCCTATTCTTTAGCCATTTGTGAGCCACTATGTGAGTACTGAGGATGGAACGAACCCAGGTCTTCTGAAAGAATAGCCAGTGCTACTGACCGCAGAGCCATTGCTCCAGCCCATCTTTAGTCATCGGTTAATTATTCAAAACTCATCGTAGGAGCCAGATCAGTTGCTTTTCTTGCCTTTCATTTTTACCCTTAGCCTTGAACAGCTCTATAATAGAGTGCTCAAAGGAAATCAATGAAAATAAACTTTAATGTCAACTAAAATAAAATAAGAGGACAATTTTCATATAGTAAGTATGGAGTAAATTAGTAATGAACAACAAAGCCAAATAATTTATTTTTAATTCACAATACATTTTCATTGAGAAAAATAATAGGTTAGCAAAAAGAAGAAAGTGAAAGAATCTAGAATTCTATCATCTGGAAATAACATTTTGGTATAAACAATCTGCTTTATTTCTGTCCATGTGTATATGCCTTCACACATACACATTTTCCTCTAAAAATGTATGGTACTGCTATTTCAAGCAACCTCCCCTACCCTGAGATGAGACATCACTGTTGCCCATTTGACCTTGAACCTCTGGTTCAAATAGTCCTCTTGCTTTACCTTTAACTTGTATAGACATATGCTACCATTCCTGGCTTTCACTTAACATTAAATTTGTTTTTATATCAATTTTATTTTATATGTACAAACACATTTGTGCATGCACAGGTCAGAGGTCAATGTTAGGAATTATCTTCTATCATGCTCCACTATATTCTTTGAGACAGGGTACTGAAGCCGGAGCCCAGTGATTGTCTAGGCTCTCTGGCCGGATATCCTCTTCTATGGTGATCCAAGAGAGGAACAGTGAAGAAAAGTTGTCAGGATGTGTTGGATACAAATAAACTAGAATGTTGGGATCTCAAAAACAAAAAGATTGCCACTCTTGTTAATATATAGAGGTTAAGGTAGAATAGTTGCTTTAAAATTTTAAGCTTTGCAACTTACTAATTGAATAGTTTTAGATAAAAAGTTTAATCTCTATCTGATGCAATTGCCTTCAATTGAATACAATTGAAGACCACATAGAATGATTGAGTTAAATATATTATGTATAAACCATTCATATCAGACTAATATGAAACAATTGTGATTATAGGGTTTTCTCTTCCAATTTTTTTTTTTTTTGCTCATTTAATACACATTCGTTCAAGTATACAGGATTCCTAAAAGATGTGTCAAACTGAAATTTAGCTTAATAAATTCATCATAGTCTGCAACTAACCAGCCAAAACTGAGATCACTATAAGGGTTCTAGAATTGATCTAATCCATGAGTTAGTCCAATGTATGGATTGCATATTTGTTTAATTCATGCATTTTAATAATGTTTAAGAAAACTTCATTTACTCAGGCATAAATATACAGTGTGTGAATTAACTACAACAAAGGTATTAATTTGACAAATTCTTCATCTACATGCATTGTTCTTGACAGTTGGGCTTCATCAATGAACGACATAAAGGTTACAGGGAAAAGAAAAGGTAGGGTCAGAATAGGGAGGACTGGAAATCCATATGTGAGTCAAGTTTATATTGGGTTGTTAATCTAAGACTCATTAAAATGGTGACGTGTGAGTCAAGATCGAGGAGTTCGATGGGATGATTATTATGGGCCACAAAGTGTTTTAGACATCAGAACACATGACAGCCCCACCCTCACCCCACCCTGGGTTTCTTCATGTAGCCCTGGCTGTCCTAGCTCTGTAAACCATGCTGACCTCGAGTTCACAAGAGAGTTGCCTGTCTCTGCCTCAGGGTTGAAGGCATGCACACACCCTCTGAGACCGATGTGCTTCTTTTATTCTGTTCTCCTGAAGCTAGCTGACTCCCGACTAAATAAAATAGCCCAGCCTTTGGAAAGCCTGGAAAAATTTTGCTTCTACAAAGTCACTTTGCACCTCTCTCTACAATCTTGATTTTTTAGTTATTTTTTTCATGTATTTTGATCATGTTCCTTCCTTTCCCCCTTTCCCAGACCTCACCACCTCCCAACCACACAACTTTATGTTCTTGCTTTCTTTAAAAAATAAATAAAACCCACGAAAACTAAAAATAAGCAAAAGAACATTAAGACAAAAAAATGCCAAACAAAAAGGAACAAAAAGTCCACACAAAAATTCCATGGAGTTAGCCCGGTGTTGGTGGCGCACGCCTTTAATCCCAGCACTCGGGAGGCAGAGGCAGGTGGATCTCTGTGAGTTCGAGACCAGCCTGGTCTACAGAGTGAGTTCCAGGCTCCAAAGCTACACAGAGAAACCCTGTCTCAAAACAAAACAACAAAAATCCATGAGTTCGTTTCGTGTTGGACAGCTACTCCTGGGCATGGTGCCTGCCCTGGAGTGTGGTCGGTACACCCAGCTACACTGGTATTTTAAAAGCTTTAGCTGTGCAAGGCATTGAATTCAGGAACTTGCTCAATCTAGGTCTGAGCTGTACCGCCGAGCAAACCCCAGCTCTCAGTTTTCATCTTCATTATTAGTGATATATATATATATATATATATATATATATATCATGTTATATATATATATGTAATATATGTAATATATATTATATATATGTATATAATATATATTATATATATGTATATTACAGATTTTATTTATTTACTTATTATGTATACAGTTATCTGCATGCCTGCTTGCACACCAGAAGAAGGCACCAGATCTCATTATAGATGGTTGGGAGCCACCATGTGGTTGCTGGGAATTGAACTCAGGTCCTCTGGAAGAGCAGTCAGTGCTCTTAAACACTGAGCCATCTCTCCAGCCCCCAAACATGCTTCTCCACCAACAGGGAGCAACGCAAAACCAAACCACAGGCCCACCTTTCTCACAAGGCCTCATCAAAACTGTTCATTTGCTACCTTCCTGACAATGTGATCCAGACCGGGGGTCTCATCACGGACTCTCTTGGTGAGCAGGCACGCCACCAGCATTTAATGCCTTGCTTAGTTTCCCTCCACCCTATTAGAAATCGACTGTTCATGATAGTGAAGTTACGAAGTCTGGAGCACCGGGGGTAGCCTGCAGAGCTTTCAGTACTAGCCAGAGGGGTCCAAGTAACCGACACGCGGTACACGCGGCACCCACTCCCGCTCGGCAAGTGCTGCCACTGCCCGCAATTGACCAGCTATATCTGCTTCCGGCTTCACCCACCTGCCACTTCCGGTCGCGTCCGCAGCTTTTTTTGTTACTTGTAAACTAAAACTCAACGCACACCCAGGCTGGGAGCACTCGGCACGCGAGACCCTGTTCTTCTTCTCCAGCCACGCCCATGGAGGCGTGCCTTCGTCAGGGACAGCGCCCAGGAGGACACGCCCCACGGAGTCCCGCCCCGGGGAGGCCCGCCTCCTGGATATACCGCCCCCAGGCCTTACAAAGGGCGTAGCCAAGCCTGAAGTTGGAGCTCCTAATTCTTTGCTGCCCCTGCTAGCTTTTAAAGGGCGTTTCTCAGGTCAGCGAATGCAAAACTAGACTCGTGGGAAGGGCGCAGGCCACTTTCGAATAACTGCCAAGAGATGTAAAATCCTAGTACAGATGGGGTTCCCCGAGTGACACTAGAGATGAGGGCTGTCAAGAGCGAAGGGAAGAGAGGAGCATTTCATGGAGCCAGTTTTGAGGAAGCCCCAGAAATCCAGAGCAGGCCGGTCACACACCGGGCATGGTTGCCAGTGATCACTCTGCTAACATGTAGGCACTGCCCTGAGTCTTTACGTATCTCTTCATAGTGAATGTGAAGAATTCAAGATCAACCTTGAGAGGCAAAATGAATTTGAAGGAATAATTGTTACCCGCAATACAGAGCAAATAATAAAGTGGACTGAACGGATGCGGGACTGATGTTTACTATGGGGTGCTCCATATTGCTGTTGACTAGAAAATCCCTGCTTTCTGCAGAACCTTTTCGGGTCAAGTACACGAGAAATTCCCCAGCAGTCAAGATAGCAATGCAGTATTTTCTGCTAGCTATTGCAGGATAGCAAGCTGTCTCAAATATGAGTGACTGACCAATGGCAAGGGCAAGCTGGGTGATTCCTCTGCTGGTTTCTTTCAGCAAGTTGGCTAAACCGTGCAGTCCAAAATGGTCTCCATTCATACTCAGGCAGGTGCTGGTTAGCTACTGGGGCAGTTTGAGTCAAAGCAATTGGAAGCAGCATTTCAAACAGCTCTTCTTAAAACTTCTTTGTGCCGGGTGGTGGTGGCACATGCCTTTAATCCCAGCACTCAGGAGGTAGAGGCTGGCAGATTTCTGTGAGTTCAAGGTCAGTGTGATCTACAGAGCAAGTGCCAGGATAGGCTCCAAAACTACACAAGAAACCCTGTCTCAAAAACACAAAAAACAAAACTTCTTTTTGTGGGTGAGATAGAGTCTCAACCTGTTTGCCAGGCTTGCCTGGAACTAACTACATAGACCAGGATCTTCACAGAGATCTTCCTGCCTCTCTGCCTCTCAAGCGCTGGGATTAAAGGCATTAGCCATGGTGCTCAAGCCAGATTCCTTCATTTAAATTTTATTTACTATATTAACTCTGAGATTACACACAGTACACAGCAAATCTATCTATCCACAGGAATACATGGAAAGGGATGTGGCTGCTGCTAGAGTCAGAGTCAGAGTTGTAGAGTTGAGTCCAGCCACAGTGGTGAAAGGGCAGGAACAAATGGGTGGACTGACAGACAACAGATTCAGACAAGCAGACAGGCAGGCAGACGGCAATTGAGTAGCCTATGTTGGCGGCTGGGACAAAGCAGAGCTGAAGCCCCATGGGAGAGCTGGGAACTGTTAGGCTCTTGACATAGACACTCTGGAAGATCAGATGACAGGTTAGTGGGGACATCACCATCACAGTTATAGGTCTCTGCCTCTTTGTGAGGTCCAAGTGAGAGAGTTACTCTATTTCCATGGCCTGTGTATTAAGTTCTTGGGCACAGTTTTCCTGGTGTTTTATTATGCTTTTGTTTATTTTGTATGTGTGTATGCTGTGGAGGTCAGAAGACAACATGCAGGAGATGCCATGCTCTCTTCTCCTACCAAATGCGTTCTGAGGATCAAACCAAGTTGTCAGGCTTGGTGGCATGTGCCTTACCTGCTGAGCCAACCTGATGGTCCTGATATGATTTTAATACAGCCATGTGCTCCTTTGGTACCAATTTACCTTGATAAATTTATGGGGTGGCTCCCTGTCTGTGCCCAAGAATAAGTCATTTATTAGTCTGTGTTTCTTGAGCTGCAAGGCAGATGGTGAATATATGTTTACCCAAGTGCTGAGTCATTCTCCATCTTCAAAATGGAGTCAAAGCTGCTTGTAAAATGGAGTCTCTCAGGACAAACCAGTCTTGGAACAAAACTAACAACACAGTTTTACATATTATGGCATAATTCAGGGCAGGGCATGAGAGCATCCAAATTAATAAAAAATAATTAGCCCCATCTCATAGTTCCATGCTTTGAAAACTTGATCTGTCCAAAATCTACAGTCCTGAGCTCCCTCATTCCCCTTGAAAACTCTTGCATCGGTCCTCACCTTGTTTTCTTGGTTACATCTCACTTCCTTCCATCTCTATATCCTGCTACACTTCACCTGGATTACCAATGCCATCATCTACTTGGATAACCACTTACAGAGAACTCTTCCTAGTTGCTACAGTCAGGTTTACGTTATAGCTGTTGTGGCTTTCTGAATGCTTTGCTTTTTTTCATGGCACTGCACACCTAGTATCTAATATAATTGCTGTATAATGCTGTGTCCTCTCTCTGGTACCACGGTGAAGGCAGTGGCTATTTTTCTATATCTCCAGCACCAAGAATGATCCTTGATTAGGTGAATTCATTATGTGTTGTTGCTTTAATAAAAACAACATAATTCAGAAGGAACCATTTATCAGGGCTTACAGTTTGAGAGTATAAAGCATGACAGAGCATGAGGCAGCTGGTCACATTGGGTTAGCAGTCAGCCTGGGAACCCAGGACATGGAATGATGCCACCCATATTCAGAATGGGTCTTCCCACCTCAATTCAGTTAACCCCCTCTAGAAACTTCCTTATAGACACACCTAGAATTTGTCTTCTTAGTGATTCTAGATCCTGCCAAGTGGCCTATCAATATTAATTATCACAGTGAACAATGTATGATTTCTGCAATTTTTTCTTTTCTAAAGAGTTATATTCTGGGGCCTGGAGAGATGGATTAGCGGTTAAGAGCACCTCTTCCAGAGGACCCAAGTTTGATTCCCAGCACCCACAGGGCAGTTTACAACTGTAAATCCAGTCTGAGAGAATCTGATATTTTCTTCTGGCCTCAATGGGCACCAGGCACCCACATATGCAAAACATCCATAGACAAAAAAAAAAAAAGTAAAAAGAGAATTATGTTTTGTGAAGGATAAAAAGAAGTATATACCACTTAACTATGTTTTTAACTCTAGGCTCAAGATTCATTTCTTTAGAATTGGCCTGCCTCATACAACATTGTTCCCCACCCATCCCAAGATGCCTTTGCTCTATCTTTTAATAATATTAAGGAGATAATGCAATTAGATAATACATACAGTTATTAAGTGTTAGCATACAAGAACATGTTGAAAACATTGGGTGGAACTCAGTAGCAGAATTGCATGTTTATCATGCTAGATTCAATCTCTAACATCAAACCAAAACCAAACAACAATAACCCAACCAAGCAAAGAACAAAACCCACATATTATATAAATAATTACAATTCACCATGTACTAGATACTAAATAGTTTTAATTTCATCTACCATTGCTTGGGGCAGTATTAATTTTTCAGACTATATATATCTTAACAGATATAAAACAAGTTTTTGCTTTTATTATATGAGATATTGTTATAAAATGGTAGTTATTACAAGAAAAACACATTTAACTTGGAAAGAACTGCATCCTAGTTCTGAAATGAAGGCAGCATGGCAGAAAAAGGCCTAAGAGTGTGAAATGCTTCTGAAGAGAGGTGGTTCACTGTTCTTTTCCAAGGACCGATCAACAGTGCTCTCTCACAGAACAGAAAGAGTTCCTGAACATGTAGAAAGGTAAAGGATTCCAAAGCAAACCCCTGAACTTGAAGTGCAGTGTATGAAAGGGCTTCACCAGAAAAGGTGTGAGTCATGTTTTGCTTAGCTTCCCCCTTTCATACTACTCAATAAAAATCTTTATGATAATTACAGTAAAGTGCATTAGTACCAAATACTGTTAGTAAAAATAACTGTGGTGTTTGACAGGGAAGAAATCTACTTTGGATTTAGGAGGGCCTTTTCTCCCTTCTTTCATTTTGTTAGGCTAATGGCCTTCAGCTACATTGAACACATCCTTTAATCAAAATCAATTTTTGATTTCTTTGGTAATATGTCCAGGTGACTTCATTCCAAATCTGTCATTACGAGGCCATCATTTTCCTTCACAAAGCTCATGGAATTCCATCCTGTGTCAGTCCCTTCCTTTCTGGTGAAGTTTCCTTGGCTTGTGTCTTCTAACTTTATTTTGTTGGTGGTTTGAAATAACCGAGTCACTGGTTCCAATTCACTCTTCTCAGCTCTTTGCATTAAGTGATCGTTCACTTCTGAATCCACCAGCACAGCAGTTGTTTGAGTGGAAGCTTTACTTAGAAAAAACCCCATTGGGAGAGCTGGTCAAACATCAAGGGAGTGTGAGGACCCCTTTTAAGTAGTGGAAATGTTTCTTCAATGTGATTACTGAAAAGAAAATCAGGTAGTAAGTGAATGCAATAGGAACGTCAACAACTTCATGGCAATGATTCTTTAAGTGGTGCTGAAAACACAAAACCATCTTCTACCCTCCAGCACTTACTTACGTGTTCTTTTTTTAGGAAAAGATCTTTTTATTTTTAATTACATGTCTGTGTGTGGGTTTGTGCATGGAGTTGCAGTTCCAAGAGAGACCAGAAGAGGGTGCTCCATCCCCCTAAAGCTGGTTACAGATTGTTGTAAATCATCCTGTTTGGATGCTGAGTATGTGGATCCTCGGCAAGAACAGTACTCACTCTTAGAACAACTTGTAAGAGTCAGTTCTCACCCTCTACCATGTGGGTTCTGGGATTGAACTCCGATTACCAGGCTTGGTGACAAGTGCCTTTATCTGTTATGCCATATTGTCAGCCTTCTTGAAAATATTCTTTTAAATTAATTAATTTGTCTTATTTGGTGTGTATGTGATGTTTTGCCTGTGTGTATATATGTATACCATGTGCATACACAGTGCCCATGGAGGCCAGAAGGAGGCATTGGGTCCTCTGGAACTGGAATTACAGATGTTTGTGAGCCACTCTGTTGCTACTAGAAACCAAAGCCAGGTCCTCTAAAAGAGCAACAAGTGCTCTTAACTGCTGATCCCAGTCCCTGAAAGTTTTTTAAAAGGAGGGTTTCTTGATTTTGTTTATTCCCTTACAAAAATAGAACTTCTCAATTTCTCTCACTCCTATCTATCATTCTTGCTAATAAAAACTTTTGATTTATTACTAGTATGTTAAATAATCACCAAATATCCTTAGCTACCAGGAAAATTCAAATTAAAACTGCATTGTCATCTATCTTGCCCCAATCCATTGTCAAGAAAACAAATAGGAACAAACAAGGTTGAAGAGGAGAGGAAAGGAAGAATCCTTATTTACTGCTGGTTGGAATGGAAACTGGAGCAGTTTTCATTATGGAAATCAGTATGGAGGGTCCTAAAAAAGAAAAAGAAAAATAGAAATACCAAAGGATCCAACTATATCACTCTTGGGTATATTCCTAAAAGAATATAAGACATCACTCCAGAGAGATATTTGTATATCTATACCCTAGTCATAGCAACCAAGATATAGATCCAGCTTGGATACCTAGCACAGGAAAAGTGGTATATATCTACAATTGAGTTTTCTTCAGACATCAAGAAGAATGAAGTTATGTCACTTGCAGAAAAATGGATGGAACTATAGGACATTATGTTGAGCACAATAAACTAGGCTCACAAAGACAAATCCAACACTTTCTTTCACATGCAAAGTATGGATTTTAGAAGAATATACATATGACTAAGGGGTGGTTCAGTGTATAAAACACTTGCCATCAAGCCTGAGGTCTAGAATTTGAATCCACAGAAAAGCCAGGCAGACTTGATGGCTGTCAGCAATTCCAGCACCTGGAGAGTCAGACAGAGCCTCCTTGAGACAGGCTGGCTAGTTATTAGCTAGAATTAGATAGCTTCAGGACCTTGGAAAGATCCTGCCTCAATAAATAAAAATAGAGAGTTATCAAGGAGGACATCAAACATCAACTTCAGGACACCCTTGCATATACATGTGAATGTGCTCCCATACACATGTACACATAAACCACACATACTTGCAAAAAAAAAAAACCTATATGACATGAAAGTAGAAGGGGGAGTACTGTGAAGGGAGGAAAGGAGCAAGTGGAGGTACTGTGGAGGCAAATGTGAGGAAAAGTGAAAAACAGGATTTCGAAGTTTTATCTATGTATGTATGCAAATTGTATTCTAACTAAATCTAAAAAATGAAAACAAACTTTTTAGGCATGAAAACAAGCAAAAAAAAATCATAACCTGTAACCAAGAGGCCAAAGAAGCTAATAGGAACAAACCTAGAAATGCCATGAATTATAGAATGTTCTTTAACACAGTTATTTAAACTATTTTATATATTCCCAAGATAATGGTAAAGCAAAGTATACACAGGATATATTTTGTTTTGGCTTGTTTTTGTTTGTTTTCAAGAAAGGGTTTCTCCGTGTAACAGCCCTGGCTGTCCTGAAACTCCTTTGTAGACCAGGCTGGCCTCGAGATCAGATGGTTAGGAATCACCTTGTAGATGATGGGAATTGAACCTGGGTCCTTTAGAAGAGCAACCAGTCAGTGTTCTTAACCACTGGGCCACTGGGCTATCCACACTTTTTTTTTTTTTTTTTTTTTTTTTTTTTTTTTTTTTTAAATTTAGTTTTTGAAACTGGGTATCATGTAGCCCAGGCTAGCCTTGGACTCGCTGGAGGAATACTGGCTTTAATTCCTGATCCATCTGCTTCTACCTCCCAACTTCTAGGATTACAAACATGTACACAAGTCTTGGCACCAGAAAACAGTTTTAAGTTGAGAAGAGTTGTGGCTGAAGCATGACCAATGGAATGAATGGAAACTCTACAGTAATGAGGAAGATGGTAGAATAGAGATTGCCTGGCACACAGGGAGTCTTAGGCCCAATTGCCAGCATACATTCTCTCTCCTTCTGTCTATGTCTCTCTCTCCCTTCCCCTTTTTCTCTCCCTCTCCACACATGTATTCTCTCTCTCTCTCTCTCTCTCTCTCTCTCTCTCTCTCTCT